ACGAGGAGAGGATCTGGATTCCTTTTGCCTGGGGAAGCCCAGAGGTGGATCTCATTGCAGTCTGTCCCTGCCTGAGGTGCAATTATGGAAAAGATGGTGCAAGGCAGCGCTGAGAGGATCAGAGGCTGAGGATGGATGGCTGTAACAAGTTGCAACTAAAGCAACTAAAGAATTATACCCTGACAAACGGGAAAAACCGTTCACCATTAGGGAGGCTAATTACAGGAATGGATTGCCCAACTCCATCTGTTGAACACTTCAAAATTTGATAAGCCACGGCCCAGAAAAACCTGATGTAGTTTGGAAAATAGCCCTGCTGTCAGCAGGAGGTTGGGTTAGAGACCTTCAAAAGTCCCTCCCAAACTCAGTTTCTCATTTGTCCTTTGTGAATGATGTAGAAAAGTTTTTGCTTGACTTTTAAAACGCAATGGAGTCAAATATGCACTTGTAACTGTGCATCATAGTATCTTACTGGCAACTTAAGCTTCAAAGTGTGCACATCTTCTACTAGGAGTATAAATTAAGTAATTGGTTGTGTAGATTGGTTTTATTGGAGCGATGGGGAGAGAGCAGCTAGGACATGGTTCTTAAGTGAGAATTAGCCATTAGAGAACGGGTTAGTTGTGAATCTCCCTTCCCTGGAAGGGAGGCCCTGTCTCGAGGTGTGATGGTTTCTAGGCTGCTGGGGAGGAGAGGGAGGAATGAACAGCATCATCTTAGCCTGCTGTATTGTCAAAGGAGGCCTAAGCTGGAGGAAGTCTGGTGGTTCAGGTGGTGGTGTTAATTACCTCAGTTCCTCCTGGAGGTGAGCTACTCTGCTGCCTGTGCTTGTATTTAAAGCATTTGAAGTCAGAAATTGGCAATAAACAAACAAATCTCTCAGATGCTGGCTGGGTTCTTTTTTTCTAACCTTTTAAATATGAAAGTTTGAGGCTTTCCTTGGCTCTTGGTAAGCAAGGGTTTGAAAACCTCACATCTTGTTATTCTTCTCAGTCTGTTTAAAACTTAGGGAATCCTTGAAGTTATTGGAGTTCAGTGGCATTATGGATATAAAGGAATTGAACAGGAATGTTGGGAGTACCATGACATACGGAGCTATTAGTGTTGAACCCCCATAATCTATTTGAATGGAGAATCTGGAAGTGCTGATAACAGGAGCACAAGAGAGCGGCTTCTGTCCAATTTCTGCCCTGTTTTTTAAGAGGCAATGAGAACAGACTGATTCAAAGGATACCAAGGCACTGAGTTTCATTGCAGGGCTTATGGAGGGGGAGAAAATTGAATTCCTGCTTCTGTGTTTCAGCTCACCAGATGGAGACAGAACATTTCCTCATTTTCAGTCAGACAGTAATTTCATACAGGCAGACCTACAGGTGTATAATTAGCTTCTCCCTGCAGTACAGACAGAACTGCTGAGGGAAAGTGAGGAAATATTAGAAATACGGATGTGACAGAACTAGAACTTAAGCCACCCGGCACCCTACGGAGTTGCTAAGCGTTCTCAGCAGAGGTAGTGCCCAGATCAGCAGGTCTCCGTGTTGCTGGGAGCTGTACAGGTAGGAATGGTTTTCCAAGGAATTGTTGGAAATGTCTAGGTGCTGCTCATCTGTCCTCCCTCTCACCTTTTCCCATAGTTAACCCAGAATTAACTTTTTAAAAGAAAATTAGGATCCTCAGGTGCATTTTAAGTGTGACACCTTTGCTGCAGTTTCCTAGATTGTAAATATCTGTCCTCCTTTTTGATGCTCTGTAGGAAGTATGACCCAAGACCTTTTCGTAGTAAACAAATAAAATTACTCAAATGTGGGTACAGTGAGTAGTTGTTTGAAATACATACAGTGCAACAGTGGCACGTCAGCTAAATAGTCTGTTTGTTTTCTTCGCTTGGATACCTACCACACAAGTGTTTCATCATGTAACTCTTTAGTAACTCTTTAAACACAGATGTTTTGTAAACTTTTTTTTCTGTTGGTCCAGTCATGGCTCTGTTGATTTCCTACCCTGAATGGCATCATTCCTCTAAAGGAGGAATGGGGGTTAGCTGAGTAAGTGAGCTATAGAGCGACCATTTGCAGTACTATGCCTTTATTTTTTCAGTTTTATTCTTTTAAAGTGGGTTGTATAGATGAGGTTATTCTATACCAACCATCGTGTGCTAGCACATCAGAAAACTATTGTAAACACTTTAAAGAGTGAGTAAAGTTGACTTCAGCTTGCTATAGACTAAATGTTTGAGCAAGTCTCTGCCTCTGGGTGTGCTGTGGGGTTTGTTTAGGCCATGGTTTAATTCAAGAATATGCCCAAACCAACTTGGTTCTGATTTTGGAAGTAAATGCAGTATGTATGCATTAATTTAAGTTACGCAGAAAATCTCTTAGTAGACACTTCTTGTTTTGCTTTTTGGCCATATTCCAGTTATTAAAAATATGCTTCTATTAAAAACCTGTTTGCAAACATGAATCAATTGACAGATATGGTATTTGATAACACGATTCAGGTGCTCACATGTTTAAGCCAGAGAGTGATGTGTAAGCAGCGCCTCAGCAACGCTGTCCTTTGACTCAGCATGTGAAACATGAACTACAGCAGTGACAGCTTTGGGTTTGGTATTAAAACTGGATTCGTGGCACTTTTGTAACCTATACGTTTTATAACCTGTACTGTACCTGCAGTTAGTCAAGCTCCTCGTTTGGTTTTGTTTTTTTTCCCAAAGCCAGCTGACGTTTTGGACTAACATTTGTCAGCTTTGCTTTGGAATCTCTGCTTTAGTCTCATCTACAACAATCCTCCCTTTCTTTTTTGCAAAAGATGCCCACGGGGCAGATAATACCTGAAGGCAGAGCGGTAGTTTGAGAAGGGAGCTGTTTGTGTGCATACCGATGCAGAACATCGGGAGCCTTGTGTGTGTGTATTTCTGGTAGGTGTTGAAGCTCTAAGACCCACCTCCTCCCCACTGTGCCCGGCACTGGGGGACACCGGCTGGTCTTTATTTGCTGCTGGCCCCAAGGCCCTGAGCCAGTGAATGAGAATCTGAAGTCACATCCAGTTGCTCCTGCGTTTCTTTTAGGTTGAAATAAGCTTGGTCTGTAGTAACTCTGCAGGTATGGACTAGCCTTGTAAAATATGTCAAACAGGTGATTCTGAAGTTTGAGCCTGTCTCTGTCAAAGAAATATTGCTGTTGAGTTTCCCACAGCGATTTTCATTTAATCTTCCTGATTAGGTTTTTAGCAAAAAGGTCCCCTTTGGCTACCCTCTTCTGGCATAAACTTAGGGAGTGGTGGTGTCATTATTGCTGATGAACTGAAATGTTTGGAAAACATTTTTAGTAGCCAAACAGCTGAGACCTCTTTCAATGATTGCTGAAACAATACAGGCAGAAAATACTTCTACTGGAAAAAGCACGTTAGTGAGCTGATCCTGAAGATACTAAATAAAAAATAAAAAAACACACAAATTGGTCCATGACTTTCCCAGTGAAATGCATCTATGCTTTTTGGTGTGGATTCTGTTCCTAATTTAGTACGTTGAGCATGTTTCAGAAATAGGTCACCTGTTAAATTTGGACGTAGGCCATACTGAGACACAAGAGGGAAGAGGAAGGTCGTTGTTGCGCCTTTTTCTTTTTCCTCATGCTTGGGTGTGAATTGTAGGAAAAAAGAATCATTGCAACACGTGTGTATTACAAGAAATGTAGTAAAAATCAAATGTTTTCTTTGTTTTCTAAACATCCTTTAAGACACAGAAACCCAAACATGTGAGAATTAATGTTTTTAAGACTACTCTTCAGCTTGATATGCCTTCCAATTCTTGCATCATTTTCATGTTGTGTATTTTTTCAGAGAAATGATGGCTTTTGTTTGCAGTCTGTATCTTGCTTTCATAGCTACATTTCTTAGGCCTGTTCCAGTATCATAGCTTCCCTCCTTTATAAAACCAGGTCTACATAAAATCACTTTAAAAACATTTCCTAAGGTTTGTTTCTAGGTAATGTATGACTGGAAAGTCCTCTTCCTTGTGTGGAAGAGGTGAGTAAATACAGTCGTGGGATTTAGTGCTGTGTAGGCTAGCAGCTTAATTAAGAAAGAAGATAGTAAAGTTATTTGAACTGCGTTTCTGTAAATGCTTTTGTTGAGAGAAAATTAAGTTTCTTGTTTGCTCAACCTGTTTATTTACTCAGAAGTTATAAATAGCCTGTTCCCTTTAATTGGGTTAACAGCTAAATGCTTACACAGAGGGATGAAAAAAGGAAAATGTTCAAAGGTGCATTAATTGCATTTTATTTTCCACCTGTGAAAACAAACCAAAAAAAACCACATAGGTAATTTCAATCATATTATGATTATAATCAGTCTTTAAATTTGGGGGTGCAATACTTGGTAATATATGAAATTTGAAAGTTTATTGAATTTCATTCTTAAATTCACCTTTACATAACGGATAGTTGAATGTGGCACTGCAGCAGCTGTATACCCTGAAAATGGTCAGAATTAGGACTGCTAGGAGTTTAACATGTTTAAGAGAAAAGAAAACGGAGCTTTTGTGAAAACAGTCTATGAAGCTGGTTAGGCCTCAGATTTGCTCCTGATTGGTTTTGATTGTCATGGACATACTTGTTGGTTTGCAGCAGCCATTCTTTGACACCACAAAATAATAGCCTTTTGTCTTCAAAATAGTACTACTTTTAGGGATAGCTGCAAGATCAGGATGAACCTCAGAAAGTTTAGCAATTACAAACAAACTGCCCTCGTTACAGATAATTGCATTTGCTTATATTTCCTTGTAAATTTTAAAGTTATTTACGTGGGGATCTTTTTCTGGTCATGTTGATCTCTATGGCCAGTAAGATGAAGGTGGATACAACTAATTATGTAAATAGCATAACTTTTAAATACGATGATATGTGCAAGTTATGCAAAACAAAACAAAACAAAAAAAAAAAAGAAAAAAAAACGTACTTTCTGTAAACAACTGGCTTACATACTTGTTTTTCATTTTTCAGCTGTACTTTCAGGTTTCCCAGCACAAATATAAAGATAACATTCACAGCTCTGTCCAATGAAAAGAGAGAAAAACAGGAGGCCCCGGAGTCCCCAGTGAAGCCTGTGCAACCCCAGATCTCTCCCTTAACGATAAACATTCCAGACAACATGGCTCACCTGATCAGCCCTCTCCCTTCTCCCACAGGAACCATCAGGTATTTAAACCCCGTAGATTGAATATAGGGCAATATGTGTTTACAAAATTGAAGCAGTTTTCTATTTCATTTTACGTATTTTGCTTTTGCAGTGAAAGTTAAGCTCAGCGTACCCTGCCTTGGAGAAAACTACCACTCTGCTACCTGTGAAAATAGTTGTATGAGCAGACGTTAGTATCCAAATGTCATTTGATCAGTGTGTACCAGTTTGCTCAGGATTCTTGCAACAAAGGAACATATGTTTTATTTGCATTCCAGATGATTTAGATTGCTTTTTGCTCTTGAATGCTTATGGGAAGACTTGAGATAAGTCCCAATTATACCATTTTAAACATCCTGATATTCACTGTCCCCCTTAAAGTTTACCAACAGAAAAAATATTTTTTGGTTATCATTAGAGTGTGGAAAACAGACTGATTTCTTGCTCCAAAAGCTGATTTAGTTTTGATTGGTCATTACTGGACGTAAACAGAGGATTTACTTAAAATGAAGTGTAACATAAGAGTTCACTGTAGGGAGGTCTTCTGCAAGGGAGGTTAACTTGGGGTTTTTACTTGCTTGTCCTCCTTAATTTGATAATTGTAGCCATTGTTTGATTTATTTGGGATGAAATTCAATTAAACATAAGCTAGCTGTGCTCACAAATTAGTAAAATTAGTTTAAATAGAACTTTGAAAATTCACAGAAGGTTTAGGAGCAAAAATTTCACTTACAGTTATTTTTCAAAACCACACATGTCTTTGAAGGTTCTTTAACTTCCTGTGTCTTCATGTGAGTGAAGGGCTGTTAATGACTGATCTTTAAAAATGTAGATCCTATTAATGAAATATAAGTGTAAGGATAATTGACTTCTCTCATGCTTGCGACAAAATTGACTTATTTTGTGCTTGTGATCTCAATGCAACATTGAGATGTTGTAGTGTTTAATGTGATCTATATAAATAGTGGAAGCAGAGAGAAAAGGGATCTAGACTTGACTGTATAACAGGTTTGCGTTCTTATTAAAATTCAAGGAAAACATATTTTGCCCAAGAAATGACAGAGCAGCTCATAAATATTTCAGATAATATCACGTATATCACCACAGTCTTTGCCTCACTATGAATTTTGTAATTCTCTTTGGGGCTTTCATGCACCTGTTGAGTACAGTTTATTACAAACAAAAAAAAAGATGACAGTTTTGAGTCTATTTTGAGAGCAAAGCATGACAGTTTCTCTTCAAATCATCCTGTTTTATAGAAGACCTGTAAACTTGCTTTGATTATACCATATGTGTCGCTTTGTCAATATATGCTAAAGGGAGCTCAGGAGAAGGATGTTGTCAGTTGATATGTAAAAACACAGAACAGCAGTGACCTATATTTAAAAAATAAAATAAAAAAATAGTTGCCTGTTTTGGCTCTAATCAAGGATTCTTCCATAAAACACATCAAAAAAAAAAACAAAAACACATCAGTCTCCTTTGTATAGCATATCACTGGGGGCAAATTATTAGTGCTGGATTTCCTATGGTGTGAAACTCAAGTCCAATAATATTTTTTTTTAAATATATTGCCCAGTCTGTAGTGCCTGCCATGTTTCTGTACGTATAGAGGGAGATAGCAAGAAACCTTAGAGGTCAGACATAAACAAAACTTGGCAGATGTCAATTTATTAGTGTTATTGTGTAAATCCAAATGCTGTTTTCTAGCTTTATTTTTTCTTTGTTTGAAACCATAGATTCAAGTTAGGTTAAAAATTGTCATTGAGGATAGGCTGGTTCTGGGGGCACAGCAGCCTTTGCCATTCTAACTCTTAGTTACGTTTTAGAATTGCTGCGGACTCTGCTGAAATCAGTTGCAATATAAATCTCTGCCAAGTATGTGCCCTTGTAGAGAGCTGACAGTGTTTTTTCAGGGAAGGGCACAGACATTGCCCACTGAGTGCCTCTTGTTGGCGAAATGGGAGTTGTAGAAGGAAAACTATTTTTGTGTGCAGCTGTAGTTCCTGTGAGACAGGGGAACAACCTTGAGGAGCATGTTCAGTGGAATCAACACACTTTTAGCTTTGTTTTTCTGTGACGGATGGCAAAATGTGAGGTATCCGGATGGACTTCTTTCCTTCAATTGGTAGTTTTACTTTGTAACAGTGTATTTGCTCTGTTGACCTAATACTGAGTGAAATCAGATTAAGTCAGTGCTGAAGTAGCCTATTTATAGAGTTTAGAATTTTTATACACATCTATGTTTGTGTATGTATATGAACACACCTGCAAACAATTAAAATAATGTTTTAGATTTCAATGAGAATCATTTTTTGCCTCACTGCTTGTTATATTTTCTCAACTGTGCAAAAATAGTGCACAGGAGAGGATCTTTTTTGAGCAGACTAAATACAAACATATGGTAGAAATTTCAGGCACGATGTGTTTCTTGTTTCAAATGAGGGGCTTAATACATAAGCAACCGCTCATTTTAAAATGGACTTTTCTGTTGGCAAATCTTACATGAATAAAGTGCAACCTAATAAATCAGTTAATCCTTTTTCCTTTGAGGAGCAAAGCCTGAGCTTCATTTGACAGGTTTCTTCCCGCAGTGATTTTAATTCTCATGGATGAGTTAGAAAGGCTTGGAAAATGGGGGTTTATATTGGAAATACTGACAGGCCTTTAACTCTGCTCTGGAAGTGCTGGTAGTGGCCTTTTCTGCAATAAGAGCTTTTTGATTAAATATAATGTGGTGATATACTGTATAACAAAATAGTAGGATCTTCTTTTTATGCTCTACAGTGCTGCAAATTCCTGCCCATCTAGCCCTCGTGGTGCAGGCTCTTCAGGGTACAAAATGAGTCGTGTAATACCATCTGACCTACATTTAATGGCTGACAATTCACAGTCAGAAAATGACAAGGAAGCATCGGGTGGAGATAGCCCAAAGGTAAGCATTGTTTGAAATCAAAACTGTAAATTAAGTCTTAACTGAATGCAATACTTTTGAAATACTAATTTTGTTACTGGAGTATATGCACTACGTCACAATGCAACTTCTTTTTTTTCCCAACTTTTAACTTTTAGGATTTTGTGATTAGACGTGACATTTATTTTGACACCTCCCTTCCCCCTCACCTTTGGAGAGGGGCTGTATGTGTATGCAGTTACATATCTATTTACAGGCGTTTGAAAATTCTTTAATGTTTGTTTCTCCACATTTTAGTCTTATCTTAAAATCTACTAAACAGAAGAGCACAATTGTAGCTTTTCTGCTTGAAAATTTCGGTTGTCCAGAATTACCTTAAATCAAGTTAATTGTGTTTTGTACCTTTTAATTTATAAAAGGATGCGTGTATTGTTAAATTTTATTGACCCAGACTTTTCTTTTTCTTCTGTAGGACGACTCTAAACCACCTTACTCCTATGCACAGTTAATAGTACAAGCAATTACAATGGCACCTGATAAGCAGCTTACACTAAATGGAATTTATACGCACATAACTAAAAATTATCCATACTACAGGACAGCAGACAAGGGCTGGCAGGTAAACTTGATTTCTAGAATGTTTTTTATTGTTGCTTCAAGAAACATCTTGGTCATAAGTCAATTGGTGAGCCTAGCAGCCCTTCATAAATAGGATTTGTTAAATGAGTGAAATTGTCTCTCTTTTCTGATTGTAACATGTCCAACAAAGTAGGGAATACACCTTATTTGTTACTTGAAATATCACTTTATTCCTGTTACAGTATTCTCCAAACCTGCGGGAGCAATACATACAGACTTCTGGGAGCAAGACAGTTAGCATAGTGGATTTAAGTATATGTATGCTATCCAGGAATGTGGTTATGCTTTGTAACTTAATTGCATAAGCATATGTATTGTTATCTCAGGATAAAATTAAGATATTAAATATGACAAGTACAAGTTTATTTGCAGAGGGGGATCTTGACCATGCAACACAGTGAAGGAGCAAGCATGTGTTACCTGTTGTCTAGCACTATGTGCCTTTTATTTCCACAGTAGCCCACTTGTGAACTTGACTGATTCTGTACTGCGTTAGCCCAAACCCTTCAATTCTGTAGAATTAATTTCTGCTTTCTTTTCCTTTTTAAAGAGACCAGCCCCAGCATTTTCCAGGATGACTAACCGAGTATGAATCAGTCTGGCATAGTCTTTCCAGATCGTGTAAAGGTTCAATGCCTTTGCTGCTGTTTTTAGTTTCAGTGAAGGACAGAAGAGCACAATTAGCAGGATTGGCCAGTTTGCCCGTGTAACGTTCAGACTGCCCTGTCGATCACCAAGTATCAGTTTCACAGTGCTGCTCTTAGTACAGTCATGATCTGCAACAGAGGCATGCTCTGGAGTTATTTCAGGGAAATAAAATTTGGAGAGACTGGGGGAGGGGTAAAGCGAGGAAGCATTAATACGCTGCTTGCTCTACAATAGAAGACTAAAGAGTATATGACCTCTCATGGAGGAATAGATTTTAAATATTAATCACATACTTATTTGTCATAGAGTCTATGTGAAAGTTGACTCATTCTTAATGAGAATTCCAAGGTTAATGGGGAATGTCACTTCTACAAACTTTTTCTAATGGTTTGGCTAGTGAAGGACTTAACTCTTGTTCTGGCTAGGAAGCACCTAGAAGATTTTTTTCCCTTTCTCACATAATGCAGAATTCTGGCTGCAGTCGTACTAACAGATCTGTTTTAGCAGTAGGATTCTGTTTATGAAATGTTGGTCTGCTTTTTGCTTCCTATTCTGAAATATGTTGAGTATCTGTGTGTATAATGCTTCCTTATGTAAGCATCATGTAACCACGCATACATTGCAACGCAGTTAAAGAATTCTGTCTTAGAACAGCGTATGCATTTAGATGTAGAATGATTAACAAAGCCAGGATAATAGACACAGCAGACATATGTTCTGGAATAAATAATTAGCACCTGTTTCTAAATCAATAAATAAAGCAAAAAGCTGAAAATTAGATGCTGATCAGTCACTAGTAGTTACTGCTATAACAGCAACAGGTGTACCTCATGTATCAGCGGCTTTGCTAGTTCTTATCCTTCAAGTATTAAATTATAGTTAAGGTGATTTTATCTGATTGATGTCTTAAATAATATTTGAGGCCATATATGCATATTATTCAAACCAGAGAGTATATACATGTGTATAATGTCCAAATCCTATACCTTAGTAAGTACTGTTGAGGTATTAATATCTTTTAGTATATAAAACTCTCATTTTGACTAGAGGACTCTTTGTGAATGTATTTTAGCAGGTACTTTTGGATCTACTCTTTTATTCTAGCATACGGAGAAATAAATACAGTTTATAGGCATGTTCTTGGCATCTTTCTAGTTGTGTTTCAATTTTTGGCAACAAAAACCATTTCTGGTTTCATCAGTTTGCATTTAAGAAACCATACATGGTTATCATTTCTTTAAGTTTTTGAAATTTGCCTTCAGGGTCATGAATACATACGTCTAAGAAGGATTTTGAGGAGCTTTTGTTAATGTAAAGCCTTTTCTCCATTTTCCCCTGTTCTCCCACAAGTATGTCAGTATGTATTCTTACACTTACTTTCTTCTGCTTCGGTGATAATGTTTTGAAAGATTTTAGGTTTATGTATTTAAATTTAAAAAGCACGTGCACAAAGCCGAGCATAGATAGATACTTCAGAGCGTTAGCAGTTTTCTGCATCTTTTTGATCAGGGTTGTGTGTTACAGCAAAGTGAGGATAAAGCAATGCGCAAACTAGAGCGGAGTGGCAGAGATCTCACTGAAGAGCTGTTTTAGAACCCACTGCCATTTGTTGTTTTTCTAGACAAACTAAATCCTTGGCTCCTCTGTTGAGACAGAGACTGTGGGTGAACTCCCAACAATCTAGCTGTATTTGGATCTTGTGTAATTTAATCTTCTCTTTCTGTATTATGGAACAGTAACAGAGGGGAATTGTGTAAGATCAGAATCAGCATATTCTGTGTTTTGCTGGCCCTTGTAGTACAACCTGATATTTTCCTTGACACCTGGGGAAGGGTGGTATATGAGGACTGCTAATTCTTGATTTTTTTACACTGCATTATGCTCAAGTATTTGTAGTGTTCTAACAGTGTTGCAATCACCGTGTTTCACGTTAACATACTGGTTTTTAACTGTTGGCAAAGATTTGAAAAATGCAAGAGTACCTTCCAGGTTTATGGCACTACCTTGGCAGTGCTCTGACTCCTGTTGAATTAAGGAATGAAAGAGCTGAACCCCGAGTCTCCTGTAGTACAAACTGCTGCAGTAGGCCACATTCTGACTTGAAAAAGTTATATGAATTCTACATATTTTTTTATGTTCCATAGAATTCAATACGTCACAATCTCTCTCTGAATCGTTATTTCATCAAAGTACCACGTTCCCAGGAAGAACCAGGCAAAGGCTCATTCTGGAGGATAGACCCTGCCTCTGAAAGCAAATTAATAGAGCAGGCTTTTAGGAAAAGGCGGCCTAGGGGAGTACCTTGCTTTAGAACCCCTCTGGGACCACTCTCTTCTAGGTAAGGAAAAACAGATGAACAAAAAGACTATGGCTGTTGTTTAATCTTCAGGCTGATACAGACTTGATAGTTTTGGATACAGTCACAAGTTCAGTAATTTAATTTCATCCAGACTCATTATTTGAATTCTGTATGATTTACGAGGAGGCTGCCAAAACACTAGGTTTGTTTTTATTGATTATTTTCAGTATTAAAGAACTGACTCAATTTACATAACTAACTGTCAGATTGTTAATGTAAGCAAGTCTTGCTGTACCTTTGGGTTGTGTTGTTGTTTTTCTTTTTTTTTTAACAGAATTATAATTTTAATTTCTAACTGCCATTTAAACTGCACTTTAAATCAGCAAAGAAAATTATCAAAAAACAGTTACCGTTTTGTTGAACTTAGAAATTACAAGTATGCATCTAGTTTGATAATGTTCAAGCAGAATTTGATGGGAAAATACAAGGGTTTTACTTACTCCCTTTGTGAAGTTATGGCCTTTCTACTGGTGTATTTTTTTTGGCTTGCCCTTTAGACAGATTTGCTCACCATCTTTCTCCACCAGAAGAAATGTTCATGTTTCACAGATTGTGTAGAGAGTCACATTAAGAAGGCATCCAGCCACTTCTGTTCCATTAACTATACCTGAAGTTTGCTTTTTAAATCCTGTTCTTGTTTAACAAAAGCTTTTTAAAAGATCATCAAAACTGCTTTGGGTTGTAACTGTACTTGCCAGAAGGCAGAGGTGCCCTCCTGTGGGCAGTGTGTGTTACAGTCTCTGTAGAGGAAGGTCACTGTCTGTCACAGTTCAGAAGTTAAAACACATCAGCTGCTGCTTTCATTTTTAAATGCAGAAGTGCCCCAGCCTCTCCTAATCACTCTGGAGTGTTGTCTGCACACTCCAGTGGAGTCCAGACCCCCGAGAGTCTGTCCCGGGAAGGATCTCCAGTCCCAATGGAACCTGAGCCTAGTGCTATCCAGCCAAAACTAGCGGTAATACAAGAAGCACGATTTGCACAGAGTGCCCCAGGTGAGGAATCCTGAAATAAGCGTTTGGGGGTTGGAGATGGGAGAGGGCTAATATATAATACAAGTGTGTGTGTGTATGTGTATATATATTTATATGCACGCACTACCAAGATTTCACAAGTACACCAAAAATCAGTAAAAATATTTAAGCCCTTCACATTTAGAGCAATCACTGTAAAGCATGTAAACATAGCAGGTAAACAGCTTTTTGCAGACATAGAGGCTGCATTATCTGTGTGTATCAGAACCCTTAATGGCTTTATTATTAAGCAGGGATTGTGCTTCTGTCCTGTATACGGACTGTACTGTCTTGCAATACTTGTCACTTCCTTTGGATACAACATATTCTTTCTGGTTTAGAAAAATAAATACATTAACTGGGGGGTTACAGAAATAAGCAAATATCTGACATACATCTGTGGTCATTTCAACCTTTCAATGCTGGGGAGTGAAAGAGTTGCAAGGCTAAAGAGAGAGAACAAATATGCATGATAAGAATTTTCCTTTTTTTTAAACATGAACAAAAAAAAACAACAAACAAAAAAGCAAGGGCAAGGTGTGATGGAATACATATTTATTTGTTTAGATGATATACTTTTGCCATCCATTTTGTTGGTGATGCACCTGGAAGAGTAGCAGTGACCATTCTGTGACAAAGGCAACCAGTCCTTAGCAGAGACCGTGCATCCCCAGCCTAGGAAGCTGGGAGTTCTGCCACCGCAGAGGTCCTTCACACAGTACATGAAGCACACTTTAATTCCCATCTACGGAAGGCAGTTTTACCGAATGAATATTAAGCATAGCTTTGGCAGTACAGTTGCATTTGCAGGGGCATGGCAAGGGGGCTTTTGCCGAAATGGTTACAGCTTGTACCGAGCTAATCCAGCACTGAATGCCATGTGGCATGATCTTCATTATCCATTTTTATCTTTTGGATCACTCAGGCATTAATGAAGAAGGTTGTTAATCTTATGAGGCTTTAACATTAAGTTAAAAGAATGACTGACTTAAATTAAATAATTAAAATTAGCAGCCTAATTTTTGTCTCTTTCTTGATAGGATCACCTCTATCTAGCCAACCAGTTTTAATTACTGTACAACGGCAGCTACCACAAACTATTAAACCCGTCACCTACACTGTTGCAACTCCTGTGACAACATCAACATCCCAGCAGCCTGTAGTTCAGACAGTTCATGTTGTTCACCAGATACCAGCTGTGTCTGTCACAAACGTGACTGGATTAGCACCAGCAAACACTTACACTGTAGCTGGACAGGCAGTAGTCACGCAAGCTGCGATGGTAACCCAGCCCAAGGTAGAACCTCAAGAGAATGGAGACCACAAGGAAGTAAAAGGTGAGAACCTGGGGGGTTAGTTGCTGTGGGAGGTCTTTATATGGAAGGATTATTATTTGAAATTTACTTCCAGTTTGAAGTGTAGTACTTGAAATGCATCGTAATTCCTCATGCATCTTGGAGCTAGTAATTAAACAGTATGCATCTGCACTGAGTAGTGAAGTAAAACTACTTTCCTGTAGTAAAAGTAAATGAATTTTTAATGTGTTCTTGTCTTTACCAATGTTTTATCATCTGTTTTTCAGTTAAAGTGGAGCCTATACCTGCTATTAGTCATGCTACAATAGGAGCTGCTAGTCGTATCATTCAGACATCTCAGACCACCCCCTTACAGACAGTTACCATAGTGCAACAGGCACCTCTAGGTCAACACCAGCTACCAATAAAAACTGTAACACAGAACGGAACGCACATAGTACCTATCACCACTGCGATCCAAGGACAGGGCAACGCTGGTATGTATTGTGCCAAGATGTTCTGTTGCTTTGCAAAAGTGGTCGCTGCTGAATTTTTGAAATGTTCTCGTGTATTTTGTAGTTGTACTGAAAACTAAGTTGTACAGAAAATTTTGATTACGGTCTTGTATGAGTTTGTTCTCTCCCTCTTGGTAAGAACCAGCATTTCTCTTCAATGATGATTACTTGAAGAGCTATTTATTCTCTTGTAGTCATTACAGTGATGTGTTTAGTGGTGACCAACCTCTCATCATTAAACCCAGGATATAAACAAGTTTTAAAAGAAGTTCCTGTAAGACAATGCCATTAAAATGGTAACTGCTCCCCAGATGATTTGTCAAGAACCAACCAGCAAGAAGGCAGGACAGACTGGCTTTTTGAGCAGTTATCTTTTTCTTCTGTTGCTATTGAACCTGTACAAGAGCAAGGCACTAAAGTGAAGGAGAATTCTCCAAGATTTTGAGATTCTTATTCTGTCTGCATACCCTCTTTCCCCTCTCAGATTCAGTGGTCTAACTGGGTAGCAGTATTTCTATCACAATTTTAATTGTTCAGGATTTATCATAACTTAAACAGATGTATTCAGTTTTGTTTGCTCTGCAGGTGCATAGAGATTGTTTCAGCAGTTTCACTTTGAGATGTTATCTGATGCTGCAGTAGCTTTTTTGTTATAGAGTATGCTTATGGAAATTGATATAAGATAGCCTAAAACTATTTCTACATGTATTTCTGCTCTAAAATCTTGATAATGGAGTAAATTATTTGTTTTGTTTCCTTTTTACTCTTTTTCCATCTCTGATGTTGGTTCTCCTACTAAAGTTCAATATTTATAGGTCAGTGTTCTGCCTCCTTCCACTTCATTTTAGTGTAAGTAAAGCAAAAGCAGTTACTGCCAGACCTGATATGCACCTTTTTTGTTCAGAATTGAGCTGAGAGTCACGTGAAACTATTTCTGAAGTATTTGTTCTACAAATGCATACTAAATACAAAACCGTTTGCTTACTTGCCCTCGTGATATTCCAGGTATTCTCTAGGATAGTTTACTAAGAACAAATATAACAACTTCTTTTTGTACATCTCACATTTCAGCTCCTGCAAAGCTGTGGTGCTCAGGAAAGGGAACTTGTGTGTGAAAAGCAGGTAGATTGATAATGTTTAGATAAAGTTTCTTGAAATGCAATGAACAAATTAATATGTTAGTATTTTGTATTTGAAATTTAAATGAAACTGACATTTGAATAGTTGGTTTAATAAAGTCAGAGTTGATAGTGAGAAACAGACTCCTGTCAAGTAGAGGGAAAGAACCCTTGGATGTCTCAGAAGATCGAGGGGACAGCACTTGCCTGTTAGTGGTGACTGGTGCACTGTTTTGTCCATGTAACGACAAAGATTACAAAGATTAAGATCTGGCGTAGCACGTTTGAGCTATGTACATCTCTGTCAGTGTAGTTCAGTTGTACTCTTGAATCTAATCAGGTCATTTCCCAACCTTTCTTGTAAGGAAAAAGGCAGTGGTCTAACACTTTGGGTAAGTGCCTATCTGTCAAAAAAGAATTGATGCTTGAGTTGTCTGCATCTCCTGGTGGTGTGAGTTGCACAGGTTTTGTTTAATAACTTGTGGCTGGAGGTGAGTGTGGCGTGGTGCTGCTCTCCTTCCCAGCCAAACATTCTGCAATGATCCGTAGACATGGCCAGACCTCCTCAAAGGGGATCTTGATTTCCCTTCCCAGTTCTGTCACAAATTACTGCGTAGATTGGCTTTAAATCATTTAATATTTGTCTGTCTTTAGCTCCACATTAACAAAACTGAGATACTTTCCCTTTCTCCCACCTTTGTCTGTACCTGTATGGTTGCTGAGTGATTTAGAGCAATGTCTTTCAGATTTGTACAAAGGTTAAATGACAGGACCTGAATCTCAACTGGGATTGCTGATACCCACCATAGTACAAAGAAAAGAACTCATCATTTTGATGAAAATGCAAATTTGATTTCAGTATCATCTGTTTTGACAAGGATGAGGGTGCTGAAATTTCTATTATCTTTTTGCAGCTGCTGCAAGTCCTTTGCATATGTTAGCAACCCATGCGTCCGCATCGGCATCTCTTCCAACAAAGCGCCAGAACGGAGACCAGTCGGAACAGCAGGAACTCAAACGTATCAAAACAGAAGATGGAGAGAGCATAGTCATAGCAGTTAACGTGGACACCCCGTCTGTGGCAGTGAGCGATAAAGGCAGCCAGAACTAGAAACTTAGAGGAGTTTTCTTTTTTCTTTTTTCCTTTTTTTTTTTTAAATAAACTCCATGGTGCCAAAAGGAGACACTTAAATATAACACCTAAAATGTTGGAACATGTTCTCACGCAGTGGGGAAAGGGGCCCTGTGATCAGACTTCAACTTTCAGCACTGAAAAAAACAAAAACAAAAACAAAAAAACAAACAACACAGGTGGCCTTAAAACTTGGTAATTTAAAGTCAAACTGCAAAACATCTTGTTCCAGAGGCTGTGACCCCCGCTCCTCCCTGCCCCCTACTGAACTGTGTACACTGAGAAATACAGTGTTGGGGAGGGCTGCAGCTTTAAAAAATCTTTATCAGATTATTTTAAGGACTGAGTATCTCAGTGTAACGGCAGCATGATAAGCGCTTAGTGTGAACTGGTTTCAAACGATTGTATATTCCTTAAAGGGAACAGAGGCAAGGAGCCATTTCCTACATCTTGGCAGCTAGCCTTTCATAATGACCTACCCGATGCAGTTGTTGGTAGATATGCAGTATTTTGTTGTTCACATGTGGAATTAGAAATTTTTGAGGTGTATTTTCATTTCTTTGCAAAATAATGGGGTCTTTGACATTTCAAATCACTCCATTTCTACTCCGGAAACTTTGGAATCACACAATACTTTTCATGTGAAATTTTGTTTGGTAAAAAACTGAATGTAGGGTTTTTTTAACCAATGGAATGATTTACTTTTGTCTGTCCTGTTAAAGTTCAGATAAAGCTACTTTATTACATCTGCAAATTTTCATATTTTAGCAGTTGCCTGATAAATTTAATCAAATTTTATTACCATGTGTAGTGATCAAATGCTTCTTCGGGCTTGCATGTAACTGATTAGAAATTACAATGTAAATGAGCCGTTAACTGACGTTAAAGAACTGCTATGAATTTGACCAGAGCTGCACTTATCTGTTTCTCTTTCTGCTACCTTTTGCTGTTTGTTACTTTGTGTTGACTTTGACTGTCCCTGGCATATTTTTCCAGTCTAAAGTAAAACAAGAGTCTCGCTTAATATTGTGTATGTTTAAGATAACAGACTGTTCTTCATTTAGAAAAGATAAAATTCTTTATCACGAGTCCTTTTAAAAAGAAAGTAAAATTATCTTGTCAGAGGTATATTCGATATTTTTAAGCTTAAGCACCCATCCGTAGAAATTAATCTGACCAGTTTCTTCGTAACACTTTTGATGTCATATACACTGACCTTTTGGGGTCTCCATTAAGAGTAGCTGTTGTGGTTTTCTAACAGTGGCTACCATATTATTATAATAAAAACAAATTTTTAAGTGTGTGTTCTGCAGTTGAACATTTTAAAATGTATTGGAAATTTCTCACTTTTAATTGTGGTAATAGATTCCACTTTACATTTCAAAATTAAATTTAAACGTAAGGCTGCTGTTCAGTCTTCAATTCACATTACGTCTTATTTCTTCATGCAGTAAGGTGAGTGAAAGCTAGATAGTTGGCTTAATTTCAATCTCATTTTTGTCACTTTCTGTAATAATGATGCATTATTTATATTTCCTTTTCCACTACAAAAGGAAAAAAATGTATTTTCTTGATGGACTGAACAGTTTGGAGTGGTTTATTTAGGCAGCTTTTGGGAACTATTTACCTAAAGACCAAATATGAGAAATCTGTACAAGTTTTGTGTTCATCCACAAAATGGAACTGTTACAATGTCTCTGCAGATAATACATATTAAAAATCTATGAAAAAAACACTCTACACAAGCTGAATTTATAACAGGCATTTAAAAAAAAAGCATAACCTGAAAAAGAAATGTTTCTGTAAAACTGCAAGATTTTCTTTAGAGGTTTTAAAAAATAAAAAAGTAAAGTTTTAACATACTTTTTTTAAGAAAAAAAAAATCCAGTACTAGTAATTTAATTTGGTGTTGAATGAATTGACTAGAATGTGGTTTATTTTCAGAAGTGAGAATCTGTTCACAACTAGGGCTAGGTGAATAATAGTGTATAAGATTTTTTAAATAAAATTAAATTTTATTCAGCAAATTAACTAAGTTGAAATTACTCAACAAGTGTGTTTGAAATATGTATGTATATTTGGTGATTAATCCAATTTATGTTGTCAGTGCCAAAGGAAACTGTATGCACCCAAACGAGCCGAGGTGATGCCTCCTGTCCGATAATGGTAGGCAAGCTGTAAATTGTAACTGCTCGGGTAGAGGGGATGTGAGAAGCCTGGGCCCTGTGCTGTAGCATATCGTTGTTTTTGTGCTTTTTGGTGCCCGTGGAATTCGAGAGAAGAACACAGCTTTGTTCCGATGGTTGACCTCTTTGGAAAAGCTGTGCAGCGTGAGGACACTGCTTGGGTTCTCGCGTAAGCAGCGTGCTCACCCCTGGTCTTGGTGAGACTGAAAAGTGACAGTTTGGGATAATGTCTGGTCGTCCCGACTATTGCAGACTTCTCTGTCTTGCAGGTCAGGCCTTACTAAACTGAGTAGTGGGGTGGTTCAGGCAGTGCTGTTCCCTGGTCTGTGTATGTATTTACACGCTTCCCACGACTGGCACAGTGGTGATTGCTGAATAATACCAAAGGCTGAATGGGACTTGCTGTCTCACTGCTGCTCTTGCGGTGCTGCTCCTGACCTTTCCTCAGTTGTTGTATGTGCTGATCATCCTGCGCTCCTGTAGTCGATAGCATCTTTCTTGTGCAAACGGAAAACTTTTTTCAGGTTTCTTGTACCTGGAGATTTGACCTCTTTGACTGATGTAACCTGTCCCGTTGTTTGTGTTTTGTGGTGAGTGGTGTTATTTCTTTTTGTGCTCCATCTAGGCTGCCTGTTCAGTATTCTTTCTGTTTAAAGCTTTCATGTAATCATTGAAAATGACTGGCTATAAGGAAATAACATGTGATGTTCTAACCAGGATTTAATGACATCCTAAAATGTAACCCAGCTTAATTTTCTTTACAGCTGGGACTAATTTTCATTGCCTGTCATTGGGTTTTCCGTTATGTTTAAAAGATTCAGGAAGCTGATCTCATTTTTTTCCCCTTTCCCAGTTCTAACATGAAGACCTAGACGTGCATTTATGCCTAGCCACAGAAGTGTTTATCTCCACTGTCAGTGTGTCATGTCTTCCTTGCCCAAGGTGTCCCTGTCCTTAACACCACTGGGGTTTTGATGCAGCTGCCTGTTGCGTTGCCCCCAGGTCCCAGCAGGGACAAATTCGGGGTTGGGAAGGAGGCAGCTCAGCACCCGGGGCAGTGGCATGTTCTTGCTTTTGGATGCTCAGTTCTGCCTTTGTGCTGGCCATTGTTACGGGAGCTGTGGAATACCTCGGGACATGGCAAAGCAACAGAGTCCTCAGTCAGAGGGCTGTGGACGGACTGAATCAGAAAGGCTGATTCTGTGCGATCAGTGTGTTGTCTCAGTTCTGAACTGCTGCCTTGCCTTCCCTCCTACCCCCCAGTTATTCCAGCATAGTACCATGTGGTTGCAGTCCTTTCTATGCTGCTTTTCCTTCTGGTGATTTAGGTGAATACTTTAACTGTGCTAAGCCCCAGCATGCCTGCAAAAGCACTGCTGCTTCAGAAAGCACTTCTCAGTGTGGATTGCTGCGCAGGAGACAAAACTGGGAAGACTTTGCCTTTACTTTCACAGTGGTTATAATACAGGTTCATTTTAAACTGTTGTTTTTTATAATTATGTCAAAAAGTGGAACTTCAGGTAACAGCCTGCATTCAGGTGTGTTTTGTGTCTTGATTTAATTTTCCCCAGAAGGTAAATTTTGAGTGGTTCATGGTCGTTAATGCAGGTCGTGATTTTATGTATCATGCAGTTTTAGAGTTACATGTATTATATATAATACATATGATGTATATTATATAATATATATGTATTATATACATTATATATATAATACATATGTGTGCTTATATATGCATATTAGCATTTACACCATATTGAGTGCTTCTATTAATTTGGGCGATTCCTTTCTATACACTTAACTGCATTAGCATTCTTACTAACACTCTTCCAGTTCATAAATAAGTTCATAAATGAGGCCTTAACTTATTAAGACTGGCTAGATCTGTTTATCTGTGTATCTTAAATGTGCCGATACTTTTAGAGGAAAGTGTTTAGTTGTTTGTTTTAAAAGTCTGACACAAAAATAATTGATAGAGCATCTAAAGTTGGTAGGTGCATGGGTTGATTTAACCATCAGGCTCTTCTTCATCTTTCTGCACTGCAGATGAAAACAAGCTTGCCTCCTGCCTGTGCTTCTACTTGTTTCTTTCCCAACTAATATTCAAGCCAGACTTTTTTTTTTTTTTTCCTTTTTCATGTATCAGAGTTTGTTCTGCTAGAACCAGTGTTAGCATCTGAGGCTGATATCAGGTACGTAGGCAAGGATTTGCTTAATGGTTTGACTTCTTAAAAATGTTGGCTACAAATTAGAGTTTCAGCACCAATTGCCATAATTATTTGTAAGTCTATTTGTAGATTTAAAAAATAATAATAGATGTGTATTTCCTAGAAAGGATTTGCATTAATGTTGATTTGGTTTTTAAAGTTATGTTATTTTTGTCTGATCAGAAGTGGGAAAATGCCTAAAGTACTAGAAAGATTTACAAGAATGCTGGGTCTTGTTTTCATGTCAATACTTTCTTGAAAGTCTTGGAAATGTTGGTTAGAAATAAAAGGAGAGCCACCGGACAGCCGTAACGGATTAGAATATCTGAAAGAGCATAAACTGTTTCTTTGAGAAAAAGCATGGACTTGTGTGAAATTCCACAGGGTCTCCTACAGATGAGAACATCACCATCAGTGGCTTGTTTCAACAAATAAAACCTTTGGGGAGGAAGGAAAAAAATGGCAGGAAAACTGGGGCATCTAAAGGGCTTAATAATAAGGAGATGGATTCAATAGTGTGTGACTCTAAAACAAGACAGCCTTTGTATTTAGGTCAGCAGAGGCTGCCACAGTCCTTTTGGCCTATATATACGTAGAAAATGCTGGACGCAGGACTAACTTTACTGATTTATCTTCTACTTTCTGCTTTAATTTGAATACCTAAAGGCTTGGAAATAAATACTCTGTGGCTCCTGCTGCCTGCTGGCAAATACCTGGAATTACCACTTACATTGCAGTGGCTAATCTACTTTTCCTTTCAGCATTTAGAACTGTGACACAGGCACTATGGAAGGAGATAGGAAAAGAGGGGGAGAGGAGGTGTTTTGTTCCTTTTAAACAGCAAAAATCCATTTACTTAAATAGCTGCTGGTGGTAGACGTAGATTGTTTTTCAGAAATGGTCATAATTTCAGACTTACTATGCAAAATGTGCAACTTCCTCGTGGCTGTCAGATTAGCACAGTCTGCCCCACTGGCATGTTGCCCTCTCAGTCAGCGGGCTCCTCTCCTAAAGGCACACGTCCCTAGCTAAGAGTTAAGACAGCTGTACTGAAAGAAATAAATGCCATTGGACCTCTGGACTATAATACTCATCTTAAGCTAACAATTCGTCATTTTTAAATACATTTAATCCTCTTTTGTCACATAACCTAGACTGCTGACAGTTTGCCTTGCCTGCCTTTTGCTCTTCAGCCTCATGTAGAGCTATGGTTATGCTCAGAATGTGACTGGTTGCTTATTCTGGTATTTTAAGACTTGCCTTCAGTTAAGTGCCCCCTCCATTTGAAGAAACTGAATCTTTAGCAGCCTGCCTGTGAGGACTGTGTCATTGTGTAAGGCCTAAAACATGGGTGAGTATTACTGCTGTGTATCACAGCACAAGTGAGTATGCTCCTGCCAGGCTTAGTACTGAGCTTTGCGGTGTACCTGGTCCCTTCAGCCATGTGGTGTCAACTAAACCAACGTGCTGGATACGTCATCTGCCTAACACTTAAAGTACTGTGTATTTACCAAAAAGTAACTAAAATTCTATTACATTTGATTATAGAGATCTGCTTATCCAGTATTGCATTTACTGCAGATTTTGGTTAAAGGTGCCTGCATAAAGCTGTACAGCAGCAGAAAGTGATGTAATGACGAACGGGCAGAGCAACGTGGAGCCTACAGCAGGTGGGGAGACATTCTTTTATCTATTTTTCAATCCCTGTAAAATATAAAGATTTGCAACTAGTAAAATAAAGCAGCATGGGAGATGAAGTATGATTAGGTATGTATTAAGGCTGCAGGACTCCAGTGTTTGTACAGTGGTATTATCTGGAAATGTAGTTGGTGTCATGCAAGAACAGGTGTTCAGAGGAAGTTTTACACATTTGGAAGAGCTTTAATCGTCCAAGAAATGCTCATAGTCTCTCCGGTCACCTCTGTGGTTGCTTTAATGGACAAGGGGATGGTGCTTGAGCAGATTAAGAAACGTAAAACCTTCAAAGCAGTGTGCAGAAGGCTTAATGTTTTAGTTAGTCTCCTTGCTATTTAAAGTGAGTGCAGCTGACTGGATCATAAACAGCTTACAACTGCACCAGATATTCTTGCTGCAGAGAAAAAGGATTTAAATCATCCTTAGAGAATAGTTTCTAATGCCTTCCTGCACCCCCCCTTCTCTGAGGAGAGTGCAGTTTGGGCATTCTGCTAACCCAGCAGTTCAAAGGTAAGCTTCAGCACAGCTGGTGTGAATAGTGTGGTAAATAGCGATAGATGAGGGGGATACATGAACAAGTACTGGTTTGCACCAGGAGTCAGAATGGGTCTGAGCTGGTCTTCTTTTGGTATAACCACCACTGTGTACTTGATGCTCTCCATGAACATGCCCCAGGCAGTGTGAATCAGTTTATCGTTCAATGGCCACCACCTTTTACTCAATTGACTATTCTCCCAAACCTGTGGCAATAGGAATTTCATGTGTGAGCATAAGTGAATACAGCAAAATTAGTCACTTTTATTTAAAAGAAATAACATATTACAAATAAGTGTGCAAAACAATTTCTGTGATTAAATACACATAAAAGCAACATGCAACCTTGACATCAAAATCGGCATAGAAGTTAGTCCTCAGTATGTTACATGATACTAAAAGAAACTTG